TTTGGTGCGGTAATTTGCTCAGGTGCGGACGTGTGGTTCAATTTGAGTTGTTGATCAAATCTAGATCAAAGGCTCAAATCAATGAAAGTTTTTAAATAATCCTCTGGATGAAACCAAGCAACTTAACCATAAACATGAAAATGACGCACCTTAAGTATACAAACCATGCACATAAGGTTTTAAAATGACACACCTTAAGTTTCAACAACTCACGCATCTTAAGCATACAAATCACAAACCTTAAGAAGGTAAACAGCGCACCTCAACAAGGAAAATCATGCACCTTAAGTTTCAACAACAACTCACATTAAGCACACAAACCACGAACCATAAGTTTCAATAACTACTCACATTAAGCACACAAACCACGCACCTTAAGTTTCAACAACTACTCACATTAAGCACACAAACCACGCACCTTAAGGACACAAACCATGCACCTTAAGCACAAAAACCATGCACCTTTAGTTTCAACTACTTACATTAAGCACACAAACTACGCACCTTAAGCACAAAAATCACGCACCTTAAATTTGACTTAGATGCAAAAATTACCAAATTGCCACCGCGTTATATATATATATATATATATATATATATATATATATATATATATATATATATATATATATATATATATATATATATATATATATATATATATATATATATATATATATATATATATATATATATATAGAATTCAGTTCCCCGTGCGGTAGGGTGTGTCCCGTGGAATTGTGTGATTAAATCTGAGACATTGATCTTGCTTAAATCAACAGTGTTAACAACATGCACCAACAGTGTAAGGGAAACACACCACAATGAAATGTAAAAAAAACATCAAAAAATACACAACAGACCCAAAAAAAAAAAAAAAAAAAAAATACACCATATAACTCACCATACCCCAATGGTGTATTTCCGAACACTGTATGGTGTTTTTACTCACACCTAATGGTGTATTTTTGGTGATGCATACCTAATTTGTGTGTATTTTTGTGGTGAATTTTCTTAACTTTGATAGTGTATATTTGTTGAACTATTGGTGACGCCGCACTGCCGCAACTAAGGACATCGCCGCATTTGACTTACTGTATATATATATATATAGAGAGAGAGAGAGAGAGAGAGAGCTCATATGTGGTCATGTCATTAGGTGTGGCGGTGTGGTTGTATCTGTGTCGTTGAATCAGTTTAATCTAACGGTAGTGGCTAATTTTGAGGATTTGAGGATTTTAGCGCGTTTTGGTAAGTGGGGGTGTTATGGTTATTACAGTGGCCATTTACAGTGCCCGGGTTCTAGAAATACACCAACAGTGTTGACAACATGCACCAGTAGTGTTATAAAACACACCACAGTGAAACACACCAATAGTGTATTTCCGAACACTATATGGTGTATTTATTCATATCTAATAGCGCGTTTTTAGTGATTCGTACCTAATTTGTGTATGTTTTTTGATGTGCATTTCATAACATGGATGGAGTATATTTGTATAACAATTAGTGCGGCCGCACTGACCACACGGGAAGGCGTTGCCGCACCTGAACTTGGCACCAATGGGAATCTACAAATACACCAGAGTAAGGCTAATAATGCACCAATTACACAAATAAAACACACAACAATGTGATTTTCCCTATTCCGGTGCCTTATGACGAGTTTACCATTGCAGTTCGCTGGGTAGGAGAACGTACGCGAAAATACTGGAAAAATCTTGATTAATGGGATTCATTGGATCTATCTATTCTAATGACATGTAATTGACCATATGACCACACCTAACAACATGGCTACACTTGATCTCCCATATATATATATATATATATATATATATATATATATATATATATATATATATATATATATATATATATGACCAAGTTCCAGTGCGGCAAGGCCTTAGCAGCCGCACCATTCGGCACCAATAGTGTTAGGAAACGCAGATCAAAAAATGCATTAATGCACCAAAAAAATCATCATTAGGTAAGAATCACCACAAAACACACCATTAGGTATGCATAAGCGCACCACACAGTGTTCGGAAACGCACAATTAAGTGTAGGGAGGTATGGTGCATTTTTTTGGGTAAATAATGCGTTTTCTGGTGCATTACATTGTTGTGCGTTTTCAAATACGATTAGTGCGTTTTTACATATTTAATGGTGCGGCGTCTGCACTTACCGCAAGTTAATGCATGATCACATTTGAGCTGAATTTATATATAAAAAATTGGGAATTTAATTTTAAAAAGAGTGGTAAATAGTGACAAACGATAGAGTAATTAGTTTTTGAAAAATTGGATGTTTTGAGGTGAGAAAATTATAGAAGGAAGCTAGCATGCGCGTGGGAGTGAACTGGGATTCATGTATTTGTCTGGGGAAAGATCTCGTAATGCAAGAAACATATAAATAATTAAGTAAAATAAATAAATAAGTAGCATCATCTTGTTTTCATTATGCCTAAAATCATTATTCTTTGTTGCCTCATCCGCATGCCCCCATCGATCTCCGGCCTTGGCAAATCTCTTCTTCTTCTTCATTCCCACCTATATATACCCACTTCCCTGTTTCAGTTTTGGCACCTCCACTTCCTGTTTCTCTCTCTCTCTCTCTCTCTCTCTCTCACTCATTTTCTTTCCAAATTTGAAGAAAACAAAACAAGCAAATTTAGGAACCCTGCTGTCTCTAGCTAGCTAAATAATCTTTGTTTTCTTGTTTAATTAGTTTCCCCTGTCGATCTTGGCTAGCTAATAGGCCGGCTTTTGTATATTAATATTTCATCTATCGATCAGCTAGATCGAAAAATTAAAGTTTGGTACGGTTGAGTTGAAGTAGAAATGGCTGCTTCTGGATTTGAGGGATTTGAGAAGAGGCTTGAGCTACAATTCTCCGGCGACGATCCGGTGGCGGAAATGGGCGGCCTCCGGCGGCTGGATTTCGAGGTACTGGAGGAAGTACTGCATGCGGTGCAGTGCACGGTGGTGGCAGCAGTGGGCAACACATACTTTGACTCGTACGTTTTGTCTGAATCCAGCCTCTTTGTGTACCCCACAAAGATCATCATCAAGACATGTGGGACCACCCAGCTGTTGAAATCTGTCCGTCCGTTGGTCCACCTTGCGTCCCGATTAGGCCTCACCGCAACCCATTGTAGGTACACCCGTGGCAACTTCATTTTCCCTGAAGCCCAACCTTACCCTCACACCAGTTTCAAGGAAGAGGTTTTGTACTTGGAACAACAATTGCCCATCCATCTTTGTTACACCAAAGCCTCCCTCATGCACTCTAAGCTCACCTCTCATTCTTGGCATGTCTTCACCGCCTCCAATAATCCTTGGAATAATAATAATAGTAATAATAATGTCCCCTACACCGTTGAAGTTTGCATGACTGAGCTCGACAGCCTCCTCGCTCGCAACTTCTTCACGTCCGGCAAGGCCATCGTCGGGAGAGACATGACGGACCTCACCGGAATCCGGGAGATAAACCCTAATGCTACAATTTGCGATTTCGCGTTTGATCCCTGCGGCTACTCCATGAATGGCGTCGACGGCGAGCGTTACTCCACCATCCACGTGACCCCGGAGGACGGGTTCAGCTACGCCAGCTTCGAGTGCGTGGGGGACGACGATCGCGATGACATTGCCAAGGTGTTGAGGAAGGTGGTGGAGATTTTCCGGCCGGGGACGATGTCGGTGTCGATCACGTCCGCCACCCACGACGCGTGGACCGCCGTAGCCAAGGCCGTGGAGGGGATGGGAATGAGATGCCGGAGTTGCACCGTGGATGACTTCCCGGCCGCCGGGACCGTAATGTTCCAAACCTTCACCCTTCACCGGAAACAATAAGCGCTGCGCGGCAAATTAAAGACGGGAACGATCGATGAGGGTGCAGGAGACTTAGGGGTATTAATTATTTATTTGCTTTAATTATTAGAGATTATTAGTTGAAATTTTTTAATTAGGAGAATATTTTGGTGCATATATGGTAATGTGATTGCATCGGGCGGGGCGGGGCAGGTTGGATGATGATGATGAATGTGGGCATTGACTTGTGTAGAAAGGTTAAAGTGGGGGAAGATCATTTAGAGATGGTTGGAGTCTTGGAAGGTGATTGGTATTGTTTCATCATGATAATGCACCCCACTCATGTTTGTCACGCCTAGAATTTTGATTTTTGTAGTGGGTGGCCGTGCCCATGTCTAAGATTTAAAAAGTGCCTCAACTTTATGCCATCTCATTTTTTATTTTGTCTTCTCCATCCTCTATATATCTATATTATATGTCCTATCTCTCTCTCTCTCTCTCATCTTTTCTTTTATATATCATATACTTTTAATATACTCCGTATTTGTCTAAAAACAATCTCTCTACCTACCTACTTTCATTTCTCTCGCTTAATTCAATAAGTTATTCACCAAATCCAACATTTATTTTCATTAAGTTTTGCCACATATAAGATAATGTTAAGGTAATTTAATGTATGTTACGTTACTCAAATGATAATAATATGTTTTGTTATTCATAATATAAGATTTAGTAAAATGTATTGATTCAGGTTAAATAATGTTCTTGATGAAGTTATTAAGTAAATATTTATTCAGGTTTGAGTTTTATTTACACTTTCGTTTCCATTATTAAAAATGTCAAAAAAAAAAAAAAAAAAGTGTGTAGTTGCAATTTGCAAATATATGGGCATCCAATTCCAAGTACAATGCAAGATCTAACCAAGCATGATATGTGTATGGTACAATGGCTACCATTTAGAAGTCTGCATGCGTTTTGTGCTGATTCAACATATCACAATTGTACTCCGATCCCCAACTTTTTGAGTTCATTCTCTAACTACTTTTCATAGTGGGTAGAGTATTTACTTTTAAGCAAATTCATCTATCCTCGATCGGTAATTACTTATTAAAATAATTTTGATAAAAACATAGTATTTACCAGTAATAAGTGTCACAATAAGTTGATGGGATACAATTACGTAAAATATAATCATAAAAGATGTGATAGAAGTGTTTTAGCATTGGAACTCATCAGGAAGATTATGTCGGAATGGTTGTCTTATATTAGGTGTGGGACAAACAATGTCCACTTAATTGGGAGAAAGTATGCTCATAAATTGTTCCCTACACCTAAGTACTTATCCCCAACAAACCTATCCCAAATCTTAATGGGCCCAATCCAATGTTCTAGTTCCTTGTAAAGCATCAGAGTTTTGATGACAAGATTATTAGCTCAACCTCAAATTTGTTACAATCAATAATTATAAGTGACAGATGAATTTATTTAAGTACGTGGTAACAAGTAATTAATCAATGTTAATTAAATTAATTGTTTTCAAATAATAGGAGAATTAATGTTGTCGATAGAATTTACGGCCCGGCTTAATCTGGGCATGGTATCAGAAAAATTTAAACAATTCAATTTTAGTTTTTGTGATACTTAAATCTTTGAATGATAATATTGAAATTCATATCAATTGATTAAGTGAGCTTGGAATATATGTTGAATTGGAGTTGGACTGCAGACACTGAAAATTTGAGATTATGGTCGTTTTTATATGAGATTAAAGTTAGGTTCCAGCTGGCAAATAATATCATATTATCATGCACATGATCAATCATGCACCGCGCGTCAAGCACTACAGTGTGTCTAAACCGACAATGTCAAAACGACGTCGTTTTATTTAATGAAAAAAAAAAAAACAGAATCTTCGCAAAAAATAACTCTGTTCTTCAGTTTCATTTTGTATACACTACAGTTTCAGTTCAACACAACTACAATTTCATTTCGATATAACTACAGTTTCATTCAATATTTATACACTCAAATATGTGAAAATGTTATTTAATTTTATTTTATATACACTATAATTTCATTAAAACACAACTACATGATCATTTCAATATAATTACAGCTTCATTGTACAATATACACTCAAATATGTGAAATGTTATTCAGTTTCATTTTATATATACTGTAATTTCATTTCACCACAACTACAGTATCATTTTGATATAACTATAGTTTCATTTGATAATATAAAAATAATACGTGAGACAATGTCGGTTTAGACACACTATAGTGTACGCGCGATGCATGATTGATCATGCACCGAGGTACATGATAACAACCGGTTCCAGTTAATACAGGCCATTATGGACTGGGCTCTGCCAATGATTGAATGCTAACTGATTTGATCCAAGTCTGCCAACGTCCAGGCAGATCCAAGTAAGCCCATTCCTCTTCCCCCATTTACTATACAAGCTTTGTGCATTTTAAATCAATTATTATACCTACGACTATGCAGCGGCAATTTATATGGTGCACCATGTCGCGCATTGCATTGTGCGCCTTGTTGCAAAACGACGTCATTTCATATAACTGTATAAAAAAATATACATAATTGTATAAACAAACATACATAACTGTAAAAAAAAAAATACACATAATTGTATAAACAAATATACATAATCACATCAACTCCCTACCGCGCCTCCCAAAACGACGTCGTTTTGGGAGGCGCGGGATGCAAGGTGCTATGTGCGCCGTGGTGCAGGATATAACGATTGCTATGCAGCGGGCGGTTCTAATCAATTCGGGTGGACGGTTGCCTAAACCGCACAGATTTCGGATTGGAGAAATTAAAATCGATCTTGGCTAATTATGTGTTAAATCTTTGGATTTTTGGTTATTTCGATTTCGGGCGGATTTGTCGGATGTCCGATTAATGTTCGGATTATGCAAAATAAAAATAAGATAAAGAAAACTTTGAAAAGAGTTAAATACATTTTTGGTCCTACATTTATTACGCGAAGGACACATTTTGCCCGATTTTATTAATTTAGTCACATTTTGTCCAACCTTTTTAAAAGGTTGACACTTTTGGTCCACCGTTACATTTGCTGTTAAGTTACTGTGAAGTAGAAGGGCAATTCTGTCCTTTCATGTGCAATTATTCATCAGTTGTAATTTCACTAGCTTCTTCACCGGTTACAGACCCAAAACTTCACCAGTTGCAGACCCAAGCTTTCACCATCAAAATACTGCCAATCACAAAAACAAATTTGTCAACAACTTCAAGGCAAAAATAAAGCCAAAAGCGTTAAAAATAAAATAAACAACTAAGTCAAAATAAGGCTCCACTACAAAAATGAAGGTAAAATACCAAATTTCCAGTAAGAAACAATCCCAAAACACACACAGCAAACATTTACATTACCAACACACAAACAACACAGAAACATTTACATTAGAATAGAGACTAGATGAAGACAAGATATCAATGAAGACAACACGCCGCCACGCCGACATTCTTCACTCCCCGCTCTGCGAGAATGCAATTCTCTCTGTGTTGGCATTGAATCGAAGCAAAAACAGAGTCCTTGGATCAGTCCACTCCGTTAGAACAACAACACACAACAACACCGCAATCAATCTGTAATGATCCAGGAAGAAAGCCCTAATGTTGGGGAAGCTGGGAACAATGGAGGAAATTGAGAATGTCATACGGTGTCGTATAAGAGAATAACGGGTTCTGGCAGTTAGGCTAAATAAAGGTCCAACGGCGTCGTATCAAGTGACGGTTGGGAGTAGTTGACACTCAATCCGACGTCGTCGTTTTAGCTTTCCTTTTATGTTTTAGTCTCTGTTTTCCAGCTAGCGTTTTGCTAAGAAACCGGCTGAGTAAATGGAATAGTGGAGTATTTAAACCTTGTTGAGTGTAAGGGGAATTTTTATGCAGAGAAATATACTGATTCTACACTCTTTCCTTCAGTTTCTTCCTTAATCCCTAATTTCTTCACTCACCTTTTCCCCCAAATTTCTGTCAAACTCCAAGGAGCATTACAAGTGGTATCAGAGCCCGCCATGGATGATCGAATCCGAAACCTGGAGGCCACTGTGACTGATCTCACCACACGCGTTCAAACCACACAGGACTTAGTCAAGGAGATCAGCTCTCAGATGAACAACCAGTTTGGAGCTCTGAGAGAGGAACTTGTGCAGCTGCTCAGGCTCAACCGACCACCACCTCCGATCCTTGGAAATTCTCCTGGACAATCATCGGTCCATGTGCAGTTTCCTGGGGAGCCTAGCTCAGCAGTAAGTAGAAGAACTTAAAAGGCTCCGATGCAAAGGGCTGAATCGGATGATACTGAACCAGATGATGCAACACCACTGGGGGTGGAACCACCTAACAGACCCCTCAGAGATTGGATTCCTAGAAGGAGGCATGAGGAAGGAATAAGGCAGCCAGTAGCTGGACAACACCATGAGTTTTTCTCAAGGTATAAAAGCGAATTCCCTACTTTTGATTACGCTAACCCCAGGCAATGGATTGTGAGGTGTGAAAAGTTATTTGTGATCTCTCACATTCCAAGGCATGAAATACTGAACTTGCTGTATGTGCAATTGTTGGGTAAAGTGGGGGTATGATTTGAAAGCTATGTGCACAGTCTGAGAGAGGATTTCCACTGACTCACCTTTGCTGAGGCAGTGTGTAAAAGGTTCGGGGACAATGGGGTGTCTTTGATGGAGGATTTTGCATCTTTGAAGCAGCTAGGCAATGTAGATGAGTTCACAGAAGGATATGAGGTGTTTAAAAGCATGATGCTGCAAACACACCCTAATTTAACTGAGCATTATTTCATGGAAAATTATGTTGCTAGACTGAGGCCGAATCTGAGATGCTTTGTTAGGACCTCCAAGCCAGGAACCCTAGAGGATGCTGTGTGGATTGCCAGACAGTATGAGAAGGGAATGAGGTCTAGTAAAGGTACTAAGAACTCTTACTGGAATTCCAGAACTACACAGCCCTCCAACTACAAATCCTTTAGCTCCCACTCAACCCACCCATCTCCAATCACCAACAATCCTAAACCCACAACAACCACCCAATCCACTGCATCAAAAGCCTCAGAAATAAGCCAATTCAGAAATCAGCTTAGGGAGCAAAAGAGATGTTTCAAATGGTTTGAACCTTGGCAGCCAGGTCACAAGTGTAGTAGTCCTACTTTTAACATTATAGAGGATCTGGAAAGAGAAGGGTCTTGTGAATTGGATGGCCAGGAGGAAGAAGAGGCTGAAGTGACCCTATGTGCTGTGCTGGGAGGGGATGGTATGAATACCATTAAATTGATGGGAAATATTCAAAGGCAGCCTATAGTGATTCTAGTAGACATTGGTAGTACACATAGCTTTGTGGACCCCAAGCTCTTAAACCAATTAAGGAGGGAAGTTAAGAAGGTTAGACCCTTGATAGTGACAGTGGCCAATGGTGCAAAAGTGGTTTGTGATTCCACCTGTCAGGGTTTGCAGTGGCAGGTACAACAGGAGAATTTTGTCAAAGATTTTAGAGTCCTAAGGTTGGGAGGGTGTGATATGGTTTTGGGAATGGATTGTGTAACACCCCCGATTTTCATACCAATTTAAACTTAAATAATCAAGATAATCTAACCATAAAAAGCATACACAGCGGAAGTCTAACTGATAAAATAGATGGACAACGTAGAGTGTTATGCCACGTCCACACTATGGTGAACGCACAGGCGTAAACAACTTCAACATAATCTGTCTATCAAGGAACGAGGTCAACAACAACAAGTCTAAAGTCTATCAAAGGCACACAGGCCAAAACAACTACACGCTTCAAGGGATCTACTCTATCCATCTCTAGGCCGCACTCGTCTCTACTCGGCACCTGAAAGAAACACATAAATATATGGGACGACGCCCGGTCAGCGAATAATGCTGGTAACCCACCAATACATGTGAAATATCATACATAGATAGGATATATATATACAACATCATTTGTGAAACGGGATATAGTATATATATGTTCAAAACCAAGAGTAGAAGTCAAACACAAGACTCTTTGCACTCACAATAAAGATAAGGGAACACATCCCAAGACCACGAGAAGTATAACGACACACAAGAACGGCTCAAGGCGTAATCTACTATCACACATTAGATTATCACCCGACATGCATAACACAAGAGAATAAGGACACAACCATTGGCAACACATGCCTTTGTGACAACACATGTCACAAATAGAGAAATACACAACAATGGCAACACATGCCTTCGTGACATCACCCATCACGAATTGATATGCCTTCCTTATGCCCGTTTCCAGCCTTATGGCTACCCCCAACCTTATGTCTAGTTCCAACCTTTACCTCTAGGACCCCTGTACACCAAGTCCAACCTTATTCCCCCGGGGACCGTCATCCCCCCTCCGACAACCCTCCAACAAAACCACCGATTTCATAGTACACGAGGGTACCGATCACACATGGCAACACATGCCTTGGTAACACATGTTACCCAAAACAAATACGTGAACCTTACACAAAGGTCACAAACTCCATAATCGCGCCATGGCCACCACGAGGACCACTGCCGTACCTTGGTGACTAATGTCTCATACCATTAATCGTGCAATCCAGGTACAGCCACACACACCACACCACAATAAGAATTAATCAACGGATCACAACGAAGATATGAAACCATACTCAATCAAGGAATGGATCACAATCCAACAACAACGATGATTAACACAAGTCATCATCAACAATAGGAAATAACAAACCACACACGCTAGCATTTATACACCGAACTAGCATGCTTATCAAACGGGTAAACCGAACATAGTTCCGAAGAACACACAAGACTCATCACGGTTCAACGAATCACAATGTTGAACACTTAGCACGATTCAAGACACTAAAACCTACATGGATTCCTACCATATAGTTCTAGACATACGAAACATCAAGAAGACACTCAAATAGTTCCACAAAAGAACATCGGGAAGTCAAAAGACCAAATACCAAGTCAAAAGAATCACGGGGAACAAATCCCCCAACAACCACATCATGTACCCCGTGGGTGGGGCCACGGGTGGACCACCACCTGTGGGTACCTCTACCCACATCACCATGTACCCCGCGGGTGGGGCGGCGGGTGGTGCACTACCCGCCGTTTCGCCCGCGGGTACACACCTGTACCACAAATAATCCCTTCGGGGATTTTCAACTCCAAGCTCAAATTCAAGTCCAAAACATGCCAAATCTCACCAAATACAACAAAATGACTTGAATCAAAGGAATAGCCAAGCAATGACACACATGAACCCTAATAACAAGCTCTGGATTTTGTAGAGCATGGGTTACCTCATCCGCTTAACATCCAAAAACAACGCCAACTTAGGCTCAACTCACAAAGACCGATCCTTCAACTATTAACACAATAGTACTAAACAAAACTAATCATGCTCAAAAAGGGATTTGAACTCTAGTTTTACCCTAAATTACCCACAAGTTTAACCATCTAGGCTAGATATACATTTGCTAACTTAATCCCAACATTAAAACACTAGTAGATGAGCTAATAACAAAGGGTTAAGGTAAAAATAATAATTAAACAAGGCTTAACTTAATTAAACCAACCAAGGATTCAAACCTTAGCTAATCCCTTAACTTAACACCCCCTTAACCACTAGGCTAACACATCACTTAGTAGTTTTACTAAATAAAACTAATCTAATACCAAACTAAACAACAAAAACCAAAAAAGAAGCTCACCATCAGCCATCATCTTCTTCGTCTTCTTCACTGGGAGGTAGCGGGTAGAGCCACGGGGACTTCACCGCCCACGCCACCACCCGCGGCCTACTCTACTTCGCCGGAGGGAGGTGTAGACCGGAGGAGAAACGCCACTACAGGAGAGACGCCGACCGTCACCGCCGGAGAAAAGCTATCGCCTTGCTTGCTCCGAAGTACCGCCGCCGTCGACGAGAAGAGAACCGCCAGTCCTTCTATCTCCGTTCTACTGTCCACCGCCGTCCACCCAAGGTCGCCGGAGCTGCTCGTCGACTGGAGAGGCCAACACACCCCACTGCCGACTCTGTTCTGCCTCACAAAGCTGCGGAAGCTTCTCTTCATCCATGTTACCGGTCTTGCCGATGATGCTCTACAGTACTACAAGAGATCACGAGAAGAGCTAAGGAGAATGGGAAAGATGGGATGGCTTGGGGTAAGGTCCTTGCTGCCGTGAATCATGAAACCGAACGAGATGGAGAAGACACGAGAGGGATGAAGGTTGCGACTGTCATTATGGACAAAGGAAAGATGATATTATACATTCATACACACACTAAAGAGTAGGGTTCATACTTAGAAGGTGGGCTAGGCTAGACATGGGTTGGGAGACATAGCTTGGGCTTAAACACTTTGGGTTCACAAAATAATAATACTTATATTTATACATACATATGGGCTCAACTTGTGGGGTTCAAGGCTTATATAATATATAATAAATAATCACATTTTGGGCTTAGGATAACAAATAAGCTTCTAGGCTAAAATTCATTTTTGGGCTTAAGGCATTTGGGTCGTAAAATATTATTTTATACAATAAATAAACCCGAGCCCATTTTACAAAGTAATTAGGCATATATAAATATTTTTAATAAAAATATTTAGTAATGGGACTATATTTTATTTTAGGAAAATACGGGGTGTTACAGATTGGGTAGATGAGTTTGCCCCAATCCAGCTACACACTAGACCCCCAGGGATTTCTTTTCATAAGGAAGGGAGGAAGATGTACTTTAAGGGGTTGACTAAGACTGTGATTTTGAAGGCTGCCAGTGACAAGCTAGTTAAAAGGTGGCATAAAGATGGAGTTAAGGGGTACTTGGTGCAATGCCAACCCCTGCAAGCTGAGGGAGCTATCAGTGAACCTTCCCTGTGTCAAACCACCACTCAAAACACCCTAACATCACTTAAAATTCCACCTGAACTGTCCTCATTATTACTGGAATTCCAGGACTTGTTTCAGGAACCCACTACCCTACCCCCCCCCCCCCCCAAAGATCCCTAGACCACACTATACCACTGATTCCTGGTTCTAAACCTATCAACACTGGGCCCTATAGATACTCCTTTCGTCAAAAGAACACCATTGAGAAAATGGTGGATGAGATGTTGGAAGCTGGAATTATTGTCCCTAGTGCAAGTTGTTTTGCCTCCCCTGTGTTACTTGTCCCCAAAAAAGACAACTCTTGGAGATTTTGTATAGATTACAGGGCCCTCAAAAACATTACAGTCAAGAACAAATTCCCTATACCCTTAATTGAGGACTTGTTCTCAGAGTTGGTAGGGGCAGTTTGTTTCTCTAAACTAGACCTCATATCTGGGTATCATCAAGTCAGAATGAGAGAAGGGGAAGAGTTCAAGACTGCCTTGAGAACACATCAAGGCTTCTATGAATTTAAGGTCATGCCTTTTGGTTTAACTAATGCACTTGCCACTTTTCAGGCACTGATGAGCTAGGTGTTTAAACCCTTCCTTAGAAAAATAGTGCTGGTCTTCTTTGATGACATATTGATTTACAGTCCCAGCCATGAGTTGCATTGCCAACATCTGAGGGAGGTGCTGCTCACCATGAGACAGCATCAGCTACTTGCTAAGCTGACCAAGTGCTCATTTGCTCAGACTCAGGTTGAGTACCTTGGCCACATTATTTCCAAGGAGGGATTGCAGACTGACCTTTCCAAACTGAAGGCTGTTGCTGCTTGGACAAAACCAATGAACATCAAAGCTCTGAGAGGATTCTTGGGGTTAACAGGTTACTACAGGAGGTTCATGAAGGGCTATGGGGTGATTAGCAAAGCATTAACTGATATGCTCAAAAAGAACTCATTCCAGTGGACTGAAAGGGCAGAAGTAACTTTTGAATAATTGAAGAAAGCCCTGTGTCAAGCCCCAGTCCTTGCACTCCCAGATTTCTAAAAGGAGTTCACAATTGAGGCAGATGCCAGTTATAGGGGTATGGGAGCTGTCTTAATGCAAGAAGGCAGACCTGTTGCTTATTTTAGCAAGGGCTTTTGGAGAAAGGCACCTAGGGTTATCCATCTATGAGAAGGAATATATGTCCATTATCAATGTTGTGGACAAATGGAGACCCTACCTCCTTGGGAGACACTTTACCATTAAGACTGATCATCACAGTCTCCAGTTCTTGCTTGAACAAAAGATAACTACAGCACTCCAGCAGAAAGGCTTGACTAAATTACTAGGACTAGACTACTCTATCCAATATAAAAAGGGATTGGAGAATAGGGCAGCTGATGCACTATCAAGGAGGGACATGAACACAGAATCTAAACTGAACTCTATTTCAACTGTCCAACCCCAGTGGATGGAAGATGTGGCAAACAGCTATGCTGATGATGAGTGGGCTAAGGAGACCTTGACTGCATCACTGGTTAGTCCTGACCTAGATCCACACATCTCAATTGTAGGGGGCCTCATAAGGTATAAGTCTAGACTCTACCTTGGATCCTCAGGAGATTTGAGGAAGGAATTGATACTTAAACTCCATGAGACTGCCATTGGGGGACATTCTGGACAGTTAGGAACATACCAAAGGATGAAGACTCTCTTTTATTGGAGGGGCATGAAGAAGGATGTAATTGAAATGGTGCAGGCTTGTGATACCTGCCAGAGCTGTAAGCATGAGAATGTGGCTAGCCTTGGTCTATTACAGCCATTAAGTATACCTGGGGAAGCTTGGCAGTGCATATCTATGGACTTCATAGAAGGGTTACCAAAATCAAGGCAGTATGAAGTAATCTTGGTGGTGGTAGACAGGTTGACTAAATATAGCCACTTTATTGCCCTCACCCATCCTTACACTGCTGAATTGGTAGCTGAGTTATTTATGGAAAACAATTACAAATTGCATGGATTACCAAGGGACATTACTTCTGATAGAGATAAGGTGTTCACTAGCAAGTTTTGGCAAACATTATTAAGAAATATGCAGGTTAAGCTGAATTTATCTACTGCATACCATCAACAGACTGATGGCCAAACAGAAAGGGTGAATAAATGTCTGGAAAGCTTCTTAAGGTGCATGACATTTCAGAAACCTAAAACTGGAGCAAATGGCTGCACCTAGCAGAGTGGTGGTACAATACTAACTACCACTCAGCTTTGAAATGCAGTCCCTTTCAATCCCTGTATGGCTACTCACCACCACTGCTGGGGTCTAGCTCTTCACCTGAATAAAATGATTTCAGCTGGTTGGCAGAAAGAGGGGCAATATTGGCTGCCTTGAAGGAGAATCTCAAAGAAGCACAGAACAGAATGAAAGTACAAGCAGATAAAGGAAGAAGTGAGAGGAAATTAGAAATATGGGATTGGGTATATTTAAAGATCCAACCCTATAGACAAGTGTCACTAGTAGTAAGGAGCAATTTGAAGTTATCTTCTAAATATTTTGGGCCATATAAAGTGATTAGGAAGATAGGGGAGGTAGCTTACAAACTACAGTTACCCCCTGGCTGTTTACTGCACCCTGTCTTCCATGTTTCACAGTTGAAGAAGAAGATTGGAGAGGGAAAAGTGGCTCACCTGGACCTTCCAGCTGTGGGGAATGAGGGGCAAGTCTTAGCTGAGCCAGTAGCAGCCATTAACAAGTGGTTGGTAAAGAGAAATAACAGAGTTGTAACTCAGATTTTGGTGCAATGGTCTAACTTGCCTAGAGAGGAGGCCACTTGGGAAGACTATTACCACATACGAAGCCAATTTCCAAACTTTGATCCTTGGGGTCAAGGATCTATTGGAGGGGAGGGTGGTGTAACGATCCAGGAAGAAAGCCCTAATGTTGGGGAAGCTGGGAACAATGGAGGAAATTGAGAATGTCATACGGTGTTGTATAAGAGAATAACAGGTTCTGGCAGTTAGGTTAAATAAAGATCCAACGGCGTCGTATCAAGTGACGGTTGGGAGCAATTGACACTCTGTCCGACATTGTCGTTTTAGCATTCCTTTTATGTTTTAGTTTCTGGTTTCCAGCTAGAGTTTTGCTAAGAAACCGGCTGAGTAGATGGAATAGTGGAGTATTTAAACCTTGTTGAGTGTAAGGGGAATTTTTATGCAGAGAAATATACTGATTCTACACTCTTTCCTTCAGTTTCTTCCTTAATCCCTAATTTCTTCACTCACCTTTTCCCTCAAATTTCTGTCAAACTCCAAGGAGCATTACATAATCTAACTATATTACATTAATTTAAACAAAGATGTTTAAATCAATGAATGAAGCGACTTCACGAAGACAGAGCTTGTTAGACATGGGCATTTGCTCGATTGTGAACTGAGTGTAGGCGAAGAGTGAATCGATGACAGATTTGAGAGTGCTCTTCTTGGGGACGAAGATGAACTCGTCCACATCAAAGAAGAACATCCATTTCGCCAGGAATTTGTACCTATGCAAGCAATCGTTGACGATGAGGAATTGATTGTGATAGTAGCCGTTGAACCTTTCTTGATCCCTAATGTCTTATAGCGTGAAGAAGCCTTTCTCCGTCCACAGACGCAGAACCTCCATCACCGCTGGGTGGATGCCGTCGGCGTTGTGGATCACGAAATGTGACTTCTCGCCCAAATTCCCATAGTACAGGTAATTGTACTTGGGCTGAGATTGGAATGATTTAGTGAAGTTGAAGAAATCTCGTGGCGTTTCCACGACGGCCTCGAAGGTGTTGGCTGTGTTGAAGTTGTGTCGTCGCCGTCATGGGTGGTGGCGTGGATCAGGAGCTTGCCGCCGCTGTCGGCGATGCCGACCGGAAAGGGGACCTTGCAGTTCGATCTTCACCACCACCGTAGTATATATTCGGCCGTACCCCCAGTTCGGGGAGGATCTTCTGGGCACCTTCTACTTTGACAAGGAGACCAAGAATATTCTAGAACAAGAATTCAAGAAATGAAGAAACTAGGTCAAGGATTAATCTTGTCCAGATTTCGGTACAAGGGAGACCAAGAAATGAATAATAGCACGTGAAATGACACAATTGCCCTCCCACTTCACGACTCGTTAACAAGAAATGTAACTGTGGATCAAAAGTGTCCACATTTTAAAAAGACTGGACAAAATGTGATTAAATTAATAAAACTGGGCAAAATGTGTCAATTGCGCATTAAATGTAGGACTAAAAGTGGATTTAACTCCTTTGAAAATATAAAGTAAATACAATTAAAAACTAAACCTTAAAATAGTTACTAGTAAAGCACTAAAATCTAAATTCTAAGACTAGTATACACAAGTACACTGTACACATCACTAACATTACAATTTAGTGATTTACAAGACAAAATGCCATACCAAAATCCAAAAAGGCAGAATTACATGGTAAAAACACAGATTTAATGATTTACAATTTACAGAATTAAAGATCCACATACATAACAACATTGCAGATTTGCATTGACAAATGACAATTCGAATCCAGCATGCAGATATCATCAAAAAGCCATCCTAATTCCTGATTCCTGATCTTACTCTAAATCTCTAATACTCTTCTAGAGTTCTAGTCTTCCTCCTGTTAAAACTTAGTGAAAATCAGTGAAGGAAATAAACAACAATAATAATTACTTAATAAATGAGAATATGAGATTATGAAGTTGGCCCAATAAGTATTTTGTCCATATCAATGTCTGGATTAAGGGCAAATTGCTACAATGTTGCCATGAACATTGAACAACATACCAGTTTAATCCTTATTTAAAATCATAGGTGGAAGTTTCATCATTACCATAATACGGAGTATAATTTATGAAATTAAATATATCAAAATTCAGAAGATAATATTACCAGATTTACAGTAATGCAAAACTACAATAGGCAGCAACTTTACCAACTTACAAGTTAGTAAGCTACCAAGTCTTTAAACAGAACATTACCACTTTACAAGATTTCAGAGTAGTGGTTAGGGGCCAAAAACTCATCAAGGGCAGCAACTTACAAGTTTGAGTTTGAAGTTACCAAGCCTCATTGCCTCAACATTATAATTCAGAGTTAGTTGAATATAAGATTATGATATTAAGATATCATATAAAGTATAAAGATTAGAGAGATTATAGAAGACAATTACAGGAATGGTTGGAAGTGTAAAACCACCAGTCCTCCCACCAGATGTACTTCCACCATCAACACTAAATTCTGCAATAAATCAAATAAGTAGAAGAATGTGAGAATTCAGTTAATTGAAAAAACTTAAATTGAAAGATTGAATTAATAAATTATAGAATATAGAGAATCATTTACCTTTCTCAAATCTTTCTAATTCTTCTAGATTTTCCTCAATTGATATGTAGGTATTTGGCAGCCTAAGCCAATCCTGAGTACAAACTAAGGCTTCCACAATTTTAGGAGTTAAATAACTCCTAAGAGGATCTAAACCCCTCCCAGATGTACTGAAGGCAGACTCTGAGGTAACAATTGAGATTTGTATAGCTAAGACATCTCTAGCAAGCTTAGAAAGGATAGGAAATCTTTCAGAATTGACCTTCCACCATATCAGTATAGCAAATGAATTTTCCTCTTCAGCTATTCCCTCAGTCAAATAATATTTCAACTCAGTTTTTTTTTTCTCCCACCACTTTCCATTTTTTGTTTCTTAATTTGGGACTTCAACGGATGTTGTGGCCTCCCAACAGGGGCAAATACTGACTGAAAAGTCCCAATAGAAGGACTAACAGAAGTTATAGAACCAAAACCAGTAGCTGGGACAACAATAGGACTATAACTGACAGCATAATCACCAAACAATTCATTCAAAGCAACCAACAATTTCTCAAGGTAAGATTTTCCTTTTACCTCACCATACACATGATTTAATTGAGTTGGCATATATTCTAACTTGTCATTGGGGTCTAAAATGTTTGCAAAGAAAATCTTATAATTTATTTTGTCTATATCACCCCAATATTTTTTCAAATTTTTCTTTCATGTTAGCACCCATTAGTTTCACAGCCCCATCAACTTCCACCATGCCATTCAAGATACATTACAGATAAGATATTTCAGAGAAAAAGGTGTTAGATGTCACATATAAGGACACTGAAATTCTGATAGTCATATCATAGTAACATTTCAAAAATTTGACCAAGATGTTCACAGATTCCCAATCTAGAAAATTAGGAATAGAATCACCCAAATCAGATTGAAAAGAATTATCACTCTCTTCATAAGCTTCAAACACTTTCTAGTATATCAGAGCAGACTGTAACATCAAATAGGTGGAATTCCATCTTGTTGGCACATCAAGACACAAGGAAGATTTTTGCTCAATTCCAATTAAGTCTCATAAATCCCTTTATATCCCTAACCCTCTTTACAGCAGTATCACATTCTTTTAGCCATCTTGCACAACCATGTTTAGAATATGGGCAATGCATCTCATGTGAAGATACTTACTCTTCACATTAGATGATCTCCAAGACAACACTTTCCATTTTTAAAAACCAAGAGTAGTATCATTTGATGAAGCATTATCTACTATCACAAAAAACATAATCCTAAGCCCCCACTCTAGCAAACTAGTTTCAAGTGTTTTTGCAATATACTCACCCTTCTGTGATATAATAGGGACAAACACAATAATTTTTTATGAAGCTTCCACTCTTCATCTAAAAACTGTGTAGTGACTACCATGAAGTTAATCCTTTGAATAGATGTCCAGGAGTCAATTGTAATACTGACTCTTTGAGTGCTTTGCCTAAACAAGCACTTTAACTTCAGTTTCTCTTCTTCATAAATGACATGGATGTCCCTACTGACTATCAACCTAGATGGAATTTTAAACCTAGGACAAACCACTGCAATGAACCTCTTAAACCCTTGCCCCTCAACAAATATAAACGGAATTTCATCTATTATAATCATTTCTATCAAGGCTCTCCTAATGGTTTCCTGATTAAATACCCATGTCCCCAACTATCTCACAATTGGTTCATATGCATCAGTGTTAGCAACAGCTTGAAATGTCAGAAGGGACTACCTAGTATATATAGAGTGAGGTTTTTTCATACAGCTAAGCATGGGGTTCCTTGAAGATGAAGTACCATGTTTTTTTTTTTATTCACATTGATATATCTTTGCACAATAGATACACTAGAAGACAAAAGGGAGCCACTGGCTCCCTTTGTAAATGATGTGGGATCATTTTGATCTAACATTGAAAATGTTTGAAAAGGGGAGCTCTTGAGCTCATCTTACAAACATAATTGCTTGCCCATCAATGTGGGTAAGTATTGAGAAGTCCAAAGCTTTTTTTTTTTTTTTTTTTTTTTTTTTTTGAGAAGTAAAGGAAAATTAAAAATGGAAAGGACATATTTCAATAATAATATTTTACATCATCAAATAGTAAAGGCATATTTTAAAAAATAGTAAAGGTAAATTAAAAATAGAACGAAAATATTTCATTAATAATATTCTACATCATTAAATTAAAATGAAACGAAAATTAGGTAAAATTATTACTGCATCTATATTCTAATTGACTTAATTGACTAAAAATAAAAAAAAATAATTGACTGAAAATGAATCTAATATTACTAATTAACTGAAAATATAAAAGGAAATGAATATTAATAATTGACTGCAAATAAAAAATGATCCATAATTGACTAAAAAAAATAAAAATAAATGGTCAGATCATTGCATTTTAATTAAAAATGGAATGGAAATTAAAAATTGGAGGAATATATTTCAATAATAATATTCTACATTATCAATAGTATTAGGACTAGTATTAGGATTCTTATATTTGAGTCATAGTATGACTCTCTATTCTAGTCTTCCTATAATTCCTCTTGTATATATATTCCCCGTGTCTGTCAGTTGTAATCCAGTTCATTCAATACAATTTATAGAGTTCTCATCTGGTATCAGTTAAGCTAGGGTTTTCTTTGTTTTCTCTGGCTCAATGGCTACCGAATCTGTTCAATAACCCGAACGAACCATCTCCAACGCCGCTACTACGTCTTCCGCGAGCGCCACTGTGTCTTCACTTTCTACTGCTCATCACTTCATCAGTATTAAGCTTACACACAAAAAATTATCTGTTTTGGAGAACTCAGGTAGTTCGTCGATGCAACCAACCCCAGTCCGCCACCTTATCTTCCCGTCGTCGAAGGTGGCTCGCCGGCGCCCAATCCCGATTACGCAACATGGTTTCGTCATGATCGGCTCTTATGTCCATGTTGATTTCTTCTCTCAGTGAAGAAGTTATGCACATCGCCATTGGTCGTCGTACATCACGGGAGGTTTAGGAGTCAATAGAACAGTCTTTGGCTTCCGCATCTCGCGCCCGCTCGTTAAATCTCCTTGGCCAACTATAGTCCCTGAGCCTGGGAGGTTTCACGGTTGCCGATTATATTGGTCGTGCCCGTGTTATTTTGGAGGATCTTGCTTTGGCCGGTAAACCGGTTAGGCTTGACGAGATGAATCTCTATGTGTTTCGTGGTTTACGGCCAGAATTTCAAAATCTCACTGCATCTCTCTCGGTCCGTGGAACTGTAACCCTAGGTGAGTTGGCCGAATTTCTTGGTGCCCAAGAGTTTATTCGAGGCGGTGCAACTGGCGGCGTTCGCCGCACAGCGTGGCGGCAGTAATCATCGTCGCGGAGGACGCGGCGGCAACCAAGGTGGCCGAGGGCAGAACTCCGGCGCACAGCGTGGAGGAGGCGGTGGCCAAACGCATTCTGGCAGAGGTGGCAGCCACCACGGGCGTGGCGGCAGTGGTGGTTCGGCAATTGTTTGTCAACTATGTCGTCGTACGGGACACTCGACTATCAAATGCTACAATCGCTATGATCCTCTTCTACAAGCAAATTTGATGTATCAGAATACCGAGTCACATCCTAATGACTCACAGACATGGATTCCTGATACAGGAGCTGCCAATCATGTCACTCCGGATATTGCAACCCTATCTAAATCCGAGGAATACACGGGTAATGACACATTGCGTGTGGGTGATGGTAAGGCGCTCTCTATTAGTCGTGTAGGTCATGCTTCTTTTAATACCCCATCTCGTTCCTTCCAATTGTCTAATATCCTTCATGTTCCCAATGTCTCTACTTCTTTATTATCTGTTTAAAAATTTGCGATAGATAATAAAGTGTTTTTTGAGTTTCACCCGTCTTTTTTTTTTTTTTTTTTTTTTGTTGTGAAGGATATCAACACCAAGGAAATTCTACTTAAAGGCAAAAGTCATGGGGGTGTCTACAAGCTCCTAATTGCAACGCCATCTCCCTCAGTTTTTCTTACAGCTCGCACCTCTCCGTCAGTGTGGCATGATCGCTTAGGACATCCACATCATCGTGTTTTACTTCGTATTCTTCAGTCGTGTCCGGTTAGTGGGTCAAATAATTCTATTCGATGTAATTCTAGTATGTGTAATGCATGTCAAATGGGCAAATCCTCTCGATTCCCATTGGCACGTGTTGAGACATCCAGTTCTAGTGTTCTTGATTTGATATACACAGATATTTGGGGTCCAACTCCCCTTTTTTCAATTGATGGCTATCGTTATTTTGTTATTTTTATGGATGATTATACTCGTTACACTTGGTATTTTCCTATGAAATTAAAATCTGATATGTATGCCATCTTTGATAGATTTTGTACTATGGTTGAACGATTTTTTAACATAAAAATTAAAGCCTTCAATCAGATCTAGGAGCTGAATACAAAAAATTGCATCGTTCCTTTACTCAGTTAGGTATCCTTCATAGACAATCCTGTGCCTACACTCATGAACAAAATGGTCGTGTCGAACGGAAACACAGACACATTGTTGAAACAGGTCTGGCTCTTCTAGCCCGTGCCGCTGTGTAACACCACAAAATTTTATTTTTTAAATCCAATTTTAAGAAATTCCAAAATAGCCATTTTCACTCCATTAAAATTTTTTGCGATCAATTGGTGTTTGAATAAATTATTTTGGACACATTTTAAATTAATTCAACACCAAAATTCCTTTTTTAATCCAAAAATCATAAATTTTCGGGTAATTCGTGTACCAAGTTTTAAACTGAGAAACCAATCTGAGTGAAACCAGGAGATGACCGAGAAGCCTAAGTCAAGTGTTTGACTTGAAAACATTTTTGGGAAAATAATCTCTTAACCCAAAACTATTTTAAATAGCATTTCTAGCCCATGGTCCATGAAGCATGGTAAACCACAAACCATCCAAAACTTGTCTAATTCCATCTTTTAGCCTAACTATTTACCCTTTTGCCCTCCACCAATCATGAGCATTTCTCCTAGGGTTTTGGACCCTATATAAACACCACATTTGCTTTGTGTTTTTCCTGATCTCCTCCCTCACCTCTCCACTCTTGACC